GGCCTGGCCTCTCTGGGCTTCTCTCCCTCATCTTTTTTCTTCGTTTCTGTCCCCAGCAACAAGCCAATCTAATCCCAGGGTTGAACCTCAGTGCACTTGGCATCTTTTCTACAGGACTGTCCGTGCTTCCTCCACCAGCAGGGCCCCGTGGGGTCCCCCCCAGTGCCCCCTACCACCCCTTCGCTGTAAGTAGCTCGGTGTCCCGAGGCTCCCCCAGGCTGGGCTCCTCCAGGCAGCACAGCTACTCGGCCATGTTGAGTAAGGGCAAAAGCGGTTATTTGCATTCTGTCTCCGTGGGTGATTATAATTGGAGTGGAAGCTTTTCCAGTGGGAGATTGACACCGATCCAAGCTCTGAACGAGTGCCCTCAAACATGGTAAGTGTCCTGCCACAGAGAAGAAGATTCATTCACTAGAGGTCCGTTTTATAAAAATAAAAGTTGCTGGTCTGGCAGTGGCGGTGCACACCTTTAATCCCAGCCCTCGGCAGGCAGAGGTAGTTCGAGGCCAGCCTGGTCTACAGAGCAAGTTCCGGGACAGCCAGAACTACACAGAGAAACCCCGTGGCTGTTTCAAACAACATTCATGAGTGTCCCTTGTTTAATACAGATGACACCTGGATTATTCTTGAGTAGATACACATTCCCACCTTTGTCCATAATTCAGACATACTTTATTGAAAGGAAGTTTTAAAAGGAAAAGGCCCCAGCGTCTGAGTCTAAACAGCACACTGCCTGATATTTAGTAGGTTATCAGTCAGTGTGGTTTGACTCATAACTCTCGGCAGAAGAAACGTGAATGGTATGTTTCCCGCTTGTTGCCCTCATTCACAATCATCATTCAGGATTAGTACATGACCAAGTGGGGCCTGAAGACACCGGACACCGGACACGGGACAGCTGCCCTCCCCTGCTTTTTCTTCTCTAAACACGTGGCTTGTTTTGTGTATAAACTGTCTCAGTGGGGGAGAATCAGGTGGGTGAGCCAGTTCTGTTCTGCTCCCTGGTGTAGTGGGCGTGGCTAGTGGCTCCTGGGGAGGGGCCCCCTTGAGTTCACTCAAAACCGGCACAAGCTGGCACCAGGCCCAGCACCTTCCATCCGGCAGAAGCTTTTCTGAGGTGTTGGGAGTCACCGCATACCATCTCTTCGGTTCTGTCCAATTTCCCTTAAAGGAAAGGAAGGAGCCACCACTGGGCTGTGTAATGGAGGGGTCGTGGCAGACGCACACGGGGCGGCGGATGGGGAGTTCACATCCTTTACCTTTGCTGTGAGACATAATCTCCGAATAAGTGCCGTTAGAAGCCACCGAAGACGGCTCACTTCCTGGGACGGGCTGAATAAGGGGCCTTGTAGAGTCTGTCTGAAAGCTAAAGCCCCTGATAACTGGAATTACAGTAGGAAATGATGTGTGCAATTTAACCGTCACAGCGTTCTCTTAGACAAAATTGGTGCGGGATTTTTAAGCATAAAGATAATGTTTTCTTAATCCTTGAATGGTGGCTCCTGCCTCTAACCGTAGTACCCGAGAGCCTGAGGGGGTAGGATTCCAGAGGTTTCAGGAAACAGATAAATAAATAAAAACTGAATATGTGATTTTTTTTTTGGGGGGGGGGTGGCCTTTAATGCCATGCTAAGGAAAAAGCCTCTTCATTCAAGACTGTAAAAATGTTTTCCTTACACTAATTTTTAGTTGCTGGTTTTGCTGGGGGTTGTTCATAACTATATTTTACAGGGGATTTATCTTGATCTAACTTTATTATTTTTCCAAGTGAATAGCCAGTTTCCCAAAGTAATTTATTGAGTTATCTGCTGTTTTATCAGTCAACTGGAAATCCAGCTCTGCCTTTGTTTTGCTTGTGATTCTTTGAGACAGGGTCACAGGTAGCCCAAGCTGGTCTCACTAACTGTGACTTCGAGCCGCTGATCTCCTGTCCCACCCCACCCCCGCCCCCGCAAGGGTGAATGCACCACCTTGCCCAGTTCCAGCTGTCTCCCAGCCTACCTCATCGCATTCCTGCACCTCATCCCATTCCGTTCAACTGTGTCTACACGGGAGTCACTACACTTTTATACTGTCTGGCGGTTTCAGCAGAAAGCTGGCTTGTGTTTTTGTGTTTTTTTTCCCACAAAGAATGGACTGGAAAGCTGGCGGCTTTTACTATTTGACAAAATGAAAGAAAATATACTGAGTTTTGTTGTTGTTGTTGTTGCTTTTAGATAGGATAAATTCTACTCATGAAACATCTTGATCTGGCAACTTTTGTTTAGAAAAAGATGACTTTTTTTCCATTTCTTTTCAAAGTTTTTGGCCTTTTTTGTTAGTTTGTAATTTCTATGAAGTGTCCATTTCAGTTGTTGGGTTGAGAGTCGGTGGAGGGATGCTTGCCTGTCACATGCAGGGCCCTGGGTTTGCTCTCCAGCGTGAGGGGAAAATCCATTTTGTCTCTGTTTTAGAAACAACAACACCATGAAGCTGTGCATAACAGATTGTTTCCATTTTTTAATATCTGACCTTGTGGTCATTTGTTTCTTGATTCCTAATAGTGTATGTTTATATATATATATATATATATATATATATATATATATATATATATATATATATATATATATATATAAATCTCTCTCCCGCCCATGATGCCTCGTGGCAGATGGCAAGGGGGCCGGCTCTCCCATGCTCACAACTCCGGGGCTGGCTCACCCACTCTCCTGCCAACGGGACTGGTGCGGCCTGAGCTCTGAACCACTCTTCAGTGAGGTCGGGTGGAGCCTCGGGAGAACATTATCAACAAGCCTCCCTATGGTCTCATTAATATATCCTCTCGAGTTAACTTAAATACATGAAAGTACAATGAAATCTCATTGGGCATGTATAAAGAATCAGTGTGGGGGGTGGGGTAGGAGAGATGGCTCAGTGGTTAAGAGCACTGGCTGCTCTTCCAAAGGACCTAGGTTCAATCCCCAGCACCCTCACGGCAGCTCACAACCGTCTGTAACTCCAGTTCCAGGGGATCTGACACCCTTACACTAATGCACATAAAATAAAATTGAAAAAAAAAAAAAGAGAGAGAGAGAGAATGAATGGGGAGAGGGCAGCAAGGCCAGTTAACAGATCCAGTGATCAATTTCTGAAAGAAAGCAAGATCCCAGAGAATGCAGGAGACAGCCACAATGGACAAAAACCCTTATCACCTGTAGATTTAACCAAAGTCCCTAGCAGGAGACTGGGCCCAATTGGTAAGTACTTGTGAAAGGCAAAGAAGCCCAGGGCTTGGTGCCCACAGGAGCCAGGTGTGAGGCCCAGGGCTGGGTGCTAATCACCGCAGGAGCCAGGTGTGGAGTCACGTGTCACCAGAGCACAGAGGGGTGAGGCAGCAAAGCAGAGGTTCATCCTCGGCTACACAGGGAGTTTGAGGCTAGCCCGGAATACAGGGAACTGTCACCAGCAAATACATAAGCCAGCAGAAAACGGAAAAGTGAAAGTCTGCAATTCTTATTAAGAAAATAAGAGTGAGCCACGCAGTGGTGGCGCATGCCTTTAATTCCCACACTTGGGAGGCAGAGGCAGATGAATTTCTGTGAGTTCGAGGCCAGCCTGATCTACAGAGTGAGTTTCAGGTCAGCCAGGGCTACAAAGAGAAATCCTGTCTTGATAAAACCATTAAAAAAAAAAAAGGTTAAGAGCACTGACTGCTCTTCCAGA